TTAACATTAATGATTTTCATATACACTGAGGGGAGAACCCTTTAGCCTTTAATTAGTGTCTTAATTTAAATTAAGAATCAGTGTAATCATTTTGTCTTGTTTCCAGTGCTTTTATTTCAGTCATCTTTACATGGATTTTAAGATTAATTCCCTTTCAGCTATTGTAATAGCGCTCTGGTTGCAGAACATAAACTAACTAAAAGTTAACCGTATCTACAAAAGCAAACAGTATAACAAGAAGACAGAAATCTCACAAACCCCCAGTCCATTCAGAAAAACTTAGTTCTTGTGGGGATAAAAGTGCTAGCGATAATTAGGGCTACTAGAAAATTTTCTGTTGAAAAACAAAATAAAACTGGTTTTCTGACTGTTACAGGGCTGCTACCTCCAGAGTGACCCTTCATGGGCTGGGGAGGCTCTGCAGCAGACCTGCCTCAGTTTCCCCTTCTCAGCCTGCTTGGGCAGCTGCAATGACTTGCTGTTGTAACTCAGTGCAGTGATTTGACTCTCCGGCTAAGTCATTAAATAAAAGTCCTCCCCCTTCTGGAGTATCTAAGTCCAAAAATAAATTAAAAATAAAGGCTGTCTTACCCAGTCCCCAGCTGGGCCCAGTTCCTGTTACGCCCAACTGCCTCTAGAGAGCATAAGCATGAGAATGACTGTGTAGCCTGTAGCGCACTCACTTGGGAGGGAGGGACCCAGGATCCAGCCCCCCTGCCAAATGAGTGCACTACAGGCTACACTGATCAAGTTGGTAAGAGCAAATGGGACAAATGCTCACTTTTGCCAAAAAAGTTGGGATGGCCAGGACAGGGCTTAAAAAAGGGACTGCACCGGCCAAAACAGGATGTATGGTCCCCCTACTTAGAGCACGCTTAGGAGAGGTGGCAGAGCCCTGTTGAAATCCCTTCCTCCACCAGGTAGAGGGAGAACTCGAATTGGGGATCTCCCACATCCCAATGCCCTAAGCACTGGGCTAAAAGTTGTGAGGGAGGTCATCGTCCCCCACCCCCAGCTGTTTTGTCTGAGCTTGCCTGAAGGGCCCGATCTGGTAGCTGGGCTCTGAGCACACCTACGAGATCGGCCCCCTCAAGCTAGTTAGATGGCTGAACACCTAACTTCCCCAGCTTTGTGAATCACTCTGGGGCTTAGATGGGAGGTACATGCCCCATTTCCCACAGGGAGGCAGCAGTGCGCATGCCCAGAGGCACAACTTCTGCCAAGTGAGCTCAGCAGGAGTTCTGGGTCCCGACACTGGGACTTAAGTGCCTAAACAAGGGACTTAGGCACCCTACTCCTTTTGTGCATTCAGGCCTTAGTGCCTTTTGTCTGTACGGCGCCAGTTCTTTAATTGTTGTTTTAATTATTGTACACACGCTAAGGGATTGTTTTGATTCCGACATTTTATAAATTGTAGTAAATACATGACTGATGTGGGACTGCAGCCTGAAGTCTTTGCTCAGTTTATGCAAAACTCCCATCAGGCCAAGTTCGTAGGTATTCACTCAGTTTTATTGGAAGCAAACCCCATGTGTCACGGTTACTGGGCTAGCTGCGTAGCTGTCTCGTCTCGGGGTCTCACCGACCACACCCAGAGGTGCACCCCCTCAGGCCTTTACCTCTTCTGGGTAAACCTGGGCCCACTCTTCACCACAACCTAGGTTACAACCGCCTGGGTATCGACTATGACTTCTTCAGCGGGTACAACAGCATCTGCAGCTGTGAGCCATTTGTTCGCCAGGAACTGTGACAGCAGGTTGTTGCAGTGAGACAGAAACAAACATCTTCAAAACCAAGTGGGATTTATTCATGTCTCAAAAGCACCAAGCAAGGAGAGCAAAGGGTAAAACAATAAACGCCTCCTCACATTGGTAAGCTCCCCTCAGCCCATTGAACTCCACCGCTGGCAGGGAGAAACAGCTTGCAGTGCAGCAGCATGCCCCATGGCTCTGTCTCAGTCGGACTGCGAGCCTTTTTACTGACATATCCTGGCCAGCCTCTCTGGGTATGTCTACACTGTGATTAAAAACCCACGGCTGGCCCGTGCCAGCTGACTCAGGGTCACGGGGCTTGGGCTGCGGGGCTGTTAAATTGCTGTGTAGATGTCCGGGCTCAGGCTGGAGCCTAGGCTCTAGGACGCTGCGAGGTGGGAGGGTACCAGAGCCCAGGCTCCAGCCCATGCTGGAATGTCTACACTGCAATGAAACAGCCCCACAGCCCGAGCCCGGTGCACTCCAGTCAGCTGGCACGGGCCAGCGGCAGGTGGCTAATTGCAGTGTAGACATACCCTCTCAGCTCACCCAAACAATCTCCCTTTTGTAGATCCTTGATCTTTTGGATCTCCTTTGATCCCAGGTTTCAGCCTTGGGAAGAGTAAACAAATCTCACCTGAATGGATCCCAGCCATTTCTCCTCAAGGAGCTTATCTTTGCTATAGTTTTGTTTCCTGTGGGTTTCTCCCTCAGCAGTGTCTTTTGATGTAACTCCTGGCAGTCAGACAGATTACTATCAAACAGATATACCATCAAACATTTATACACATATGTCCCAATATGTCACAAATGGCACTTTAAAATTTGTCCTAATAAGAATTCTCACATCGGCAAAACAGACTTCAAGAATTTGTCGACTTTACCTTCCTTGGGTACAATATGCTAACCCTTCTCTTGGATGGATGTAGGTGGTGGTGCACTTTAAATGTCAAAGGGAAAATTCCTGGACAGAGCAAACACCCCTAAAACTACTTGGAAGGCACTGTTCAAGCTGGAGATAAGGCCAAAAGATCAACATATGCCCCAGAATTTTGTCTCTTAATAGGTTCTGCTTTCAATGTAACTTATGACCCTTGGAACCTGGCCCACATTTTCAAAAGTGGCCGCTAATTTTGTGTTGCTCGGTTCTTGTGTTGCCAGCTTCAGTCACCTGGGGCTTGATTTTCAGATGTGCTGAGGCCAGGGACTCCAGCTGAAATCAATTCTGCTCCAACTAAATTTCAACAGGGATGTAGGTGCTCAGCACACCTGAAAAACAGACCCCTACACATTTAAAGCTGGGCATCTAAAATTAGAGGACACTTGAAAATGTGGCCCTGCATGTACCTCTTAGGTTACCAAAAAGGATATTTTGCTGTAATTCCAATTTTATTTTTTGATTGAAGACACACAGGCTGGAACTGTTAAATGGCTTATTCATTAACATTAAGAAATCTTAATTAGCTTCACACATAAGCACTATCAGTTGTTGGAATTCTTTTCACTAATTACGCATCCAGAATCCCCACGGCAGCAATCCAATCCCGGAGAGTCGAAGGCAGCCAATACTTAGCACAGCACATTTTCAATAGTGTCTTAAACTGCAGACAGTGCAGCCACCTGCATAGATTTTTAATCTAAGGGATTGTTATTGGAAAGTAGGGGAGAAAAGTTAGACCCTGCCATGATGTTTGGGGAGCCAGATTGTTTAGGTGATTAGTAATGGAAGAGAGGGTATGTCTACACAGCATTTTGGAGCAAATGGAAACGGACCTCTGGGCTCACAGACTTGAGCAAGAGCTCAGGCTCTGAAGCTTGGGGAGTTGGGGTGAGTATTTGCTACTATTACACTACAGTACATATTTATCCGGACTGTCTGGCCTACTATACCACCAATGTTTCCCAGAACTCCTACATGGGTCAGGACACAAAGTACACTTCCAAATTTAATTGAGGCTGAATAATGCCTCAGGGGCCGTACAATTTGAACTGAGAAATAGCTGTGGCAAAATACGTTTTATTTGGTTTGGGTTTTTTAATGTGGATTCCAGGATTAGGGCAGAAAATGCGATTCCCAGATGACTGAACCACCAAATGAAGCAACATCCAGGTTTGATGTAATTTATTTGAACCATACTTTAACATATCCATATATTGCAATATAAACAATATAAGTGCAAAATATTTTTTATATAGCACCTTTCATTAATAAAGATCTCAAAATGTTTCACAAAGACTATCTGTTCGTTGATAGGGATCACTTAACCCACCACCAAAATTCAGGCAGTGAGAGAACGGAACGAGCTTAGTGGGGCACTGAAACACTACACAGCTGCTTAAGACAGGAAGTGACAAAGTAGCACAACATCATAACCGAGTGAGCAGAGTCTGAGACATCAGTTGTGGAAAGAATGCCATCTTGAGTGGTCATGTAAAACCCAATCCTGTAAGATGTTGAGCATTCTCACCATCCAACCCATAATTTGATATTAGGTGGACAGGAAAGTTGCCCCTTGAAATCGGAAGCAGCCTCTGTAGCTGCGTAACTAGGGAGGCCTGAGGAGCTTTCATTCCCTGGCAGCTATGGAATCAGCTGTTTTCCTCAACAAAGCCCTTAAATCGATGTGGACTGTAATCTGAATTGGGCCAGCGTCACGGATCAATTGTATCACCTCTGAACTTGTGGAAAGGACCAGAGCAGTGGTTCTCAAAGCCGGTCCGCCGCTTGTGCAGGGAAAGCCCCTGGCAGGCCGGTTTGTTTACCTGCCGCGTCCGCAGGTTCGGCCGATCGCGGCTTCCACTGGCCGCGGTTCGCCGCTTCAGGCTAATGGGGGCTGCAGGCAGGGCCGGCTGCAGAAACCAGCCCAGCAAGCAGGTGCTTGTGGCGGCCAAGGGGAAGGGGCGGCACGTCGGGCTCTTCGGCGGCAATTCAGAGGCAGGTCCCTCAGTCCCTCTTGGAGGGAAGAACCTGCTGCCGAATTGCCGCCTAAGAAGAAAGCGGAGCGGTGGAGCTCCCGCCGATCGCGGCTTTTTTTTTTTTCTTCGCCGCTTGGGGCGGCAAAACCCTGGAGCCGGCCCTGGCTGCAGGAAGCGGCACGGGCCGAGGGATGTGCTGGCCGCCCTTCCCACAGCCCCCATTAGCCTGGAGCGGCGAACCGCAGCCAGTGGGAGCCGCGATCGGCTGAACCTGTGGACACGGCAGGTAAACAAACCGGCCCGGCCCACCAGGGGCTTTCCCTGAACAAGCGGCGGACCAGCTTTGAGAACCACTGGATCAGAGGACTATCAATAGTCACCAGTGACCGGGGTCTTGGTTTTACATCTGCATCAAAAATAGAGGCATTATGACCTTGGCACATAGTTAAATACAAGTTAAATACAGCTGAACCAAGTAATAATACTGGGGTACAATTTTGCTTCCATTTCAAGATTTTATATGCCAGGTTTTGCCTCATAGTAAATATTTGCCAGAAATATAACATCTGAAATCGAGGCAGTAAGATGATAGAGTTCTTTGTTAATATTACTGTACTTATATCTAGCTATTGAAAATCAATGTACAGGTCACTAGTATCTGTTTATACAGTGCCTAGCACAACAGGGCTCCAGTGCTGTTACAATGCAGTAATAATGATAGGGAAAGAAGCGAAAGGGCCACACGCTCTGTATTTACATGGATCCAGTGGCCCCAACACCCTACATACCTGCCTTGGGGCATCTGGAGCAGTGCTGCAATCGCAGCCACAAGGGCCATACAGAGCCACCTCCTGCCCTGGCCACAGATATTGTTGGGCCAGGGAGTGGATTTCATGGCCCCGGCCTCTCCAAACTCCACCCACTTGGTGTCTGACTATTCTGGCTTTATGTGGGCGGAGTGGATTTCACCCTGACATCCTGTTTTACAATTGAGGAAATGTTTCTCCCAGACGGCAATATTTTCACACTGATATTGCTTTAAAAAGGTGAGCCATTACTTCCTTTGCCATTAAAAAAAGAGATTGTAGTTCCCCCTAGGAGAGTTCTTTGGACTGGCACATGCTGCATAGTCCATGTTAAATGTCTGCAAGATCTATTGGACAAATGAATCCTTCCAACAGGATTCTATGGGATGCATTTGGTGATCTAAGCATGTGTAGAAATCCATTGCCTGATTCCTAAGGTAACCACATAGAATATAGACGCATTACAACACTTTCCGCCAGTAAGAATTTATTAAAAAGAAGCGAGATTTCCTCTATTTTAGACCTAACACATTCTTTTTGGAGGTGAGGAAAAAATGATAAAGCCCTGCTTGAATCACAAGTCCTTCCCCAAGTTAATCTCATGTTTAATGAAAAGCTAGAATATGTGAGTGTTGTGGATTCATTTAGCACATTCAATATCTACTTCATAATGAGGATAGAAATATTCTCATCCCAAAATGTAGTTTGGCTGTATGATTGTGTGTCACATTTTATCAGGGCAACATAAATAAAGCCTGATACTAACCCTTTATTTATATTGCTTTTACTTCTTCCCTTTGTTCAGGTTTCACATTTTGAAATGACCAATTCGGTCTGTGTTTGTGGGAAGAGACCAACATGGAAACCCTTTTAAAAATACCCAGAGAGGCTTAGAAACCAGTGTATGGCAAATATTGGGGCTTAAGGTTGAGGGACTCCATGGGAGCCAATATGGCTGGGGATTTCCTGTCAACACACAGAGAATGAGGTGTGCAAGTTTTGAGCTTACACAACTAATACTAAACAAAAATAGGATGTTCTGAAAACTCAAGTTGCAAAGACAATACGTGACAACTATATCATAGAATCATAGAATATCAGGGTTGGAAGGGACCTCAGGAGGTCATCTAGTCCAACCCTCTGCTCAAAGCAGGACCAATCCCCATATCCTGTGTTAGTTTATGTGTGGAGATGGCACACGCTATGTGATTATGGATGCAAACCCAAAACAGCCTCCCGAGGTAAAGATGGCCACTAATGATTCGGGCTTCAAGTCACTGGACTAGAAGTGAAAGAGGCTGTAATCTATAACAAAGGGCTCTCCATGTATTCTTTAACTGGACCTACATTCTTCAGCAAGTTCTGTGGCATTTCAATGGAGCAGACTGCTGCATGCTGAGAGTGCTCTCAATTCCCACTGACTTATATCATACCGCACATACAACATACAATCACTCCCCTCCCCAACATCTCTTTACAAAGCAAAACGGTTTTTCTTTTTAAAAGGAATGGCCCGACCTGCCAAATGCAAGCTATTTTTACTGACTGCAAGTGAAGCACTGAACTCTTATTAACGCCAGACTGGGCAACCACTTTGTATTATGGATGGTCATTTCTTTATTGTTTTATCATGAGAAATAAAATGCTACTGAGGAGATATTCAATTACGGTGACATTTATAAGATGCTGGTGTATTTATACGGTGGTGAGATACTGTTAATATTTACAAAGAGGTATGATATTTTCAAAGATCTGCCCAGCAGTTTTCCCCTTAAAAACTTGATTGTCAGACCTCACAGAGATTTTTTATTTTAAATCAGATGACAAATTATCCAAACTGCTGGGATGTAGTGTTATCATTATGTTTTTTCCCCTCCATGATTGCTGAACCAACTATAATCATGTCTATAATTGCTCCTGAAATCCAAACTTTTTGGACAAGGTAGGTAGGTCCATTGCTTGCAATACTTGCCAGAATGAAAGAGAAGCAACTGAAAAAGAAACAACCTGCATTTTCTTATAAAATGAGATGAAAAAAATTCAAGTGTATTTTCTTCTTTATATTTAAAGCTCTTATTTCAATATATAGCACTTAAACATTTTTAAATAATTTTTTTGTACCTTTGATTGCCTGTTTCATCTCTGGAAACAATTAGAGTAATTTCACTATACATCTGTGCAAATAGAAAATATATAAATGTACTCAAGGCCCATGTCATAAGAAGGTGGTTTCAAGAGTTTCACTTTTACAGAAATTAGTTGGGGTCCCTTTAAGTTGTTCCTGGAAGTCGTTTGAGTTCTTCCCTGTTAAGCCTTTGAAATCCTGATGCAAAGAAGATATGGAGCCAAGCACACACATGTTGTCCTGTACTTCATTTTGTAAACGACGTGGTGACAGCTGTAAAACTCTCCCAAACCGACGGAACAGGGGAGTTGATGTGATCCAGTTCAATAAACTAAAGCTTGACTGGTCGACTGTTGTGTTCCATGGGAACGTTTCTTCTACAGACATTGACTCCATCTCTGAAGTGTTGTGAGTAATTTCGTGAAATCCCAGGGATCGTTCTTGACTGTTTGCCACTGAGAAGTGTTTTTTCCCCTCACATAACAGAGATCCAGGAGGAGAAGCAGTAACACTCAGTCCTGTTGTGTGTTCTGCCTTTGTATTTGATGGGAAAGCTGGGTCATTTCCATACTGAGATGATTGCGAAGAGGGGGTTTGGTTGCAGGCCTTAAAACAATCACTATCATTTGACTGAGGATTCTGTGGGGAATGTTCTGCACATGGGGATTTCTGGGGAATGGTTTCCTTTTTGATATTCAACCTGTTCGGAATCTGGTTGCGAGTCTCTGGAGGCAATCTATTCAACTGGCGTCCAAGCTGAAGTTGGGTTGGGAAGACGGTCCCCTGAAGGGTTCTGTACAGAAATCTGAAGGAGGAAAAATGTACATATGAAAAGAAATCAAAGAAAGAGGATCTGCTTGAGATTTTATCAAGAGAAAAATGTCCACAGAACAGAATATACAATTACTTTAACAGAATGAGAGTTTATACAGGCAAGTACCACAGTTCATTCATTTTCTTTAGATTTGACATTTAAAATAAAAAGATTGCCCAAAGAGCTCTGAGTACCCTGACAATAATGTGACCTACAATAACTACCCACCAGCGATAATACTAATACACAAGTAATTGGACTCTGTTAGCCAGCAGCCTTAAATAATCAAATGAAGCTAATAATATACTTCAGCTGGCTGACAATAAAAAAGAAAAAAAATTAGAAACGCCCCTCACCCCAAATCATATTCAGGCACATCCCTTTGCCTTTCCTCTCATTCCACCCCAAAGTATACGAGCCACTAACATATACACACACAGGGGGAAGATACTATACCTGGGCAGTAATGCAACAACTGGTGATATAATACAAATCAAGTAAAACACAGGCTCTCCCATCAATTTTTCCATAGTCCAGTAGGGATTGGATGGAGGATAACATATTGGGCAAGAAACATTATAAACCAGAGCCACAATGAAAAATAAAAGGATACTGAAGATACAAGATGACCAGTGGAACAAAGTCTAGAAGAAACAGCAAGAAAAACTGATTTTTAATTTTATGGTACAAAATCCATGCACAGAATGTATTTACATCAGTGTAATTTCACAAATCCTTATTCTACAAACAGGATTACAAAGCTGCTCACTGCTCGCAGTTTCAAACCATATTCATTTTTGGTTAAAATGCTTGATAAAAATAGACAGTGCTGAGGGAATAAAACACGCTTTTCTTGATTTTAAAGAGTGACACTAAGGAAATAGGTAAAATATCCCAGAAGGCTCCTATATAATTTCCATGTGGACGACTTACCCAAGTTTTGGTTTCAATAGCCAAGTGTAATATAATGGTGAAAAGAGCTATCGTGGTGATGGGCGTTCCCCAGGAGAATAGATCTACCTCTGAGTCATAGTAAGTCTGAAAAGAAGGAAAGGGGCTTTACTCTAATTTGTATTTTCAGGTCTGCTCCTCACATTGCATGAAATAGGATGTCTGAATGGATAACTTACGAAAAAAGGGATGTAAAAACAAACGAGACTTTGATAGAGTGCATCAATCATGTTCATCCAAAACATGTGTGGTTGGTACTCCTGTGACACAAAAACATACAGTAAGAGTCTAACGAAGAAGCCATTTGTTAGTACTAGACAAAAATCTGAACTGAAATGTATTTCTTCCAGTGCTTGTGCAGACAACCTCATCACTCTTCTCCCTTCCGAGGCCAACAAACCCCACCCTCCTGATGGAGTGATTAGTTGGGATTTCCATGACCTGAATTTCTGCCTCTAAAGCATCCTCTTCTGTGAGTTTTTCCACAAGAGGGTATACTTTAGATCTGAGCTCCTGATCCAGCACCGATTTGTATACATGCCTAACTTTATGCATTATAATTAGTCCTATTGACTTCAGTGGAGTTACATACTTGTGGTATTCAAACTTCAACACATGCTTACATCTTTGCAGGACTGGGGTTTAAGGACCAGATTTTAAAATGTATTTTGGTGCCTGATTTCAGTGGGGAGTTAGGCACCTAAACTCATTTAAAAATCTGGCCCCAAGTCTTGTACATATAAAACGAAAGACTATATATTCAAGAAAGATTAAATGTGAAAGTATGCAGCTTACTTTGAAAGGAAAATCCACAACAATATTTAATGAATATTTACACAGCAATATAATCAGTCCTTAAGAAACAGTACTGAATTTTACTAACCCATTAGTATAAATAATTTAACCATTTTTTACATTCACATGAATTATCATACAGAACAACTGGGTATAGAGGAAATCATTTTGTAAACATAGATCGGTAAAATGCTCATTTATTTTACTAATGTTCTTATGCAGGTTACACATTTCCTGTGATAATTTTTTTTCATGAATTCATTAAGCTCCTTTTCCCCCTAGCTCATGGTTTCCTAAGCCTAGAAATGAGACTTTCATAAAACTCTTGTGTTCTTTGGTCTAATGAAACAACATGTAGACTGCTCCAATTAAAATCTTTTTCAAAGAGAAGAGTGAGGATATTACTGGCTACCTACAAGCAGGAATGGTTTAGCAAATTTTTTTTATAAGTCTTTTTAGACAGGTATTCAATGAAATTGCTTAATAGCATTCAAAGAACCTCAGAATGGACAATGGACTCAACTTTGAGAAAGAATTCTACTGTGAACATGAAAGAATTCTCTTGTCAATCTGCTGACTGTTTTGCCAAATCAATCATCCTTTAGACTGGTTTGTCAATGAAGAAAACCAAATAAAACCTCCAAATCAGCTTCAACTAAATCAGTGACTAGCTATTTTTGTCCTGTTTTAGTAGGGAAGTAAATAGGGGCATTTATTTTGTGGAACTTTAATTGCAATGTTCTGGAGCAGCAGGCCAAAGGCTGGAAATATAAAACCCAGAAACAACAGCTGATTAAAAAAAGAAGATAAAGACAAACACATTGTAAATGAGCAGTTCTGCAATTCCCCACCTCTTCTTTCAAGTATAGCATCTAGATAGATTACTAGAAATGTAATGCACCAAGCACTGGGTGCACTGTTGGTTGAGAGAGTCAGTGACTCCCTTCAGAGGCCAAGGTGCCAGTTGTCTTAGAGGAAGCTGTTGTAAGGCTTCTGATCAAGAAGACATCTCTTGACAATGATAGTCTTGCTAACCCGAGAAGCCACCCTTCTCCCCTCATGATAAAATTGCAGTTGCAATCAGCACAAGTGGTCTAGCTTGATGGCCTTCTGCCCCTTTCCTTGCAGTTTACACAGAAATGGGCTGCAGCTAACGTGTTTTCCATGAAGGGTTTCTGACTCTGCATATTTAGTTTCTGGCATTTAGATATTTTGGTTAGGATTATTATAGGGTATGTCTACACTGCAATGAAAACACCGAGTCTCAGAGCTTGGGTCAGCTGACTGGGGCTTGTGGGGCTCTGGCTGAAGGCTACAAAATTGCAGTGTAGATGTTTGGGCTTGGACTGGAAGCCAGGCTTTGAGACCCTCCCTCCTCGTGGCCAGCTGTGGGTCTTTTATCCCAGTGTAGACTTACACCTAGAAATGCTAACAAGCAAGAAAAACAGTTTCTCAGACTCCCATTCTTTAGCTTTATTCGGTGCCATTGTGTCCTTTGCCACCAAGATTGGTTTTCATTTAAACTCATGACCATCAGAAAAAATCTTCTGAAAGGCAAAGTTTTTACCTCCATTTTCTGGCCACTTTTGTAGAGGTGAGGTACACCAATTAGCACTTCAGCTGGTATATCCTTATCCAGCACACCAGTGACCAGTTGTGGAAGAGAAGAGAATAATACATTAAAGAAGATCAGGTACCACTGATCAATCATTGAAGAGCCAGAGAACCCGCAATAGAACTGGTACCAGAAGAGAAGGGCCACAAACATCTGCAATCAAAACAGCAGTACAGGAAGCATGATCAGTCAGGAATTTAAAACAAGTAGGAAAAAAACAGTGTAAATCTCAGTACATCATCTCTCCATGGCTCTGTGAAATCATGTTGACTTTGATTCTGCAAAGACTTGCACATGTGCTTAACCTTAAAGTCATGAGTAGTCCCTACTGAGGACACCTGATCTTCTGTTATTTATTATTCCCATTCCCACTACTCATGCTTAAAGTTAAGCATGTGTATAAGTCTTAACAGGATTGTGGTCTTGGATATGACTGGGGCTTTTGCCTCACATGAAATTAATTTTCAATCCAATTATAACTCTCGAATACAAAATGCAGCTAAATATAAATGAATGACACCATTTTTTGTGGAATTCCACATATATTTCATGAATGTAGATCTCATTGTGTTGTTTATTACTGTCATAAGAAGGATCCTGTTTCTATTTCAATATCTTGTGTTGGTTTGAGAATTTTCTGGAGACTTAGCTAGCTCACAAAGGCAAAGTAGATAGCACGAGGATAACTGGGCTTTTCAGCTCTTTTCAAGACTGTAATGAGAAGAGCACAGCCAGGAGGATAGAACTATACATTGCAGTGAAGTTGTGTTTGATTTGACCACCACAATATCTTTGATTTTCAATTTCATCAGATTAACAGTGGGTGGAGATGTATCATTCTACAATCCTCACTTTAAAATGAAAAGGTAAATCATTCACACTGAGGGAGTGTGATGACCCTGGTCTTGGGAATGCTGCCTCCAGCTAGGTTGGGGTCACCCAGGGATGGACAAAACACACAACCCATTTTGCTACCATGTATGTGGGATAGACAACCAGACCAGCAAAGCCGAAGTGTCCGTAGAACAGCTGGGGTTCATTTAAACTACAGAGCCCAGCTGTTAGTGATGTATCTACCTATAAATGGAGGTAAAGTGTGTCTGGAGATGAGGACATGCTTGTTTCAGCTTTGAGGGGAGACTGGATGCCACAACTTGAATCCTAGAAAAGGGAGGTGTAAACTGCTGGGCAGGTTTACAGCCAGGGAAGGAAATAAAGCTCCAAGCCTCAGTCCTTCTACGTCCCTGTTCTCCAGACTCGTTGATTATCCACCAACGAATTACAAAAATTTAAAGCAAATCAACTGAAAATACTTGGCTGTAATTCCTAAAAGGGTTTCCCTGCTTTAACTAGCTAGGAGGGGAGAGGCTGTGCCCTCTCCCTTAGCTCCCATTTGACCCAGCTTTCCCTTCCTTTTATACGCCACCTGAAGCAGCCATATGACCAGCTGGGACCTACCCTGCAGCACCTTTGTAAATCCTGCAGCGTGGTTTCTGCAGCAATCCGCGGCTTAAACTATGAGCTAGATAAGTTCTACTGCAGAATGGAAATTGACACAATACAAGCAAATGTAAAAACCCGAGGAGATAGAGATCTAGCAGAATGTATGCAGCACAGTTATCTTGATTCCCTGTAGACAATTCATCAAGAGTGGTCTCCCTGTGAATGAATCCGGTACTTGCATCTTAGAGGAAGTTAGAATTCTCCTTCCCTGAGGGAAACTACTATATGTCTGACACATTCAGGTCTATAAATTCTATTTCCCACTGTGGTTTCAGGGTTGGTAGCAACTAGGATTGCTCTTACGGGCTCTGAAGGCAGCAGAAGCAGAGCAAACACAAACAGAGATTCTTAAGTTTCATTCAAGCCTGGGGGCAACAGCTTCAGAAAATGTCTGCAGTTGGATGTCTTACTAAATACAGCATGAAAAAATAATACTTGTAATTGGGGGTGGGGAAAGGGGTGTATTGGAATGTAAGATTTTACAAGTATTGAACAAAAATGCAAATGTATAAATTGAATCTTTGCATGCTGATCATTGGAATGTACTTACATATATTTCTTGAGAGTGTTTTGATTTAAAAATAAAATTGCTCTGAATACACTTCTCTGAAAGTATAATATTCCACTTTCATTGATGAGGTTCGGTATTATCATGGTGATGGGCACAACAGAAATATATAGATAGGAAGGTGCAGATGCTCAGCACATTTCAGGATCAAGCCTAGAACCATGAGCCTGTGTACACCAGCATTTTTCTGTAAGTTTCCTGCCATTGCATTACCACAGGTGAAGCTCCACCAATGGTAGCAGCACTAGGATAGGTCAACTTTTCAAATTTGGCTTGCTTTTTAAGGCTCAGTGAGATCTTTGGAACTTCAGAATTTGGAAGTGTTTACTTTGATTATTTTTTGAAAGCATGCAAGTATGACATTCTTGATCAGAACATGCTTAGAATATTTTTATCGTGCCCATGTTAATGCAAATATAGTTCAACCAATGATTATTTTTATTATTTACCTAGCACACACGGTGTTCCTATCCTGGTCAGCAATTTGAGGAAAAATACAGCCCTGTCTCATGCCAATTAAAAGTTACCTTTGGACTGAGACAGGGATCAGCAACCTATGGCACACGGCCTGCCAGGGTAAGCCCCCGGTGGGCTGGGCCGGTTTGTTTACCTGCCGCATCCGCAGGTTCGGCCGATCGCGGCTCCCACTGGCCGCGGTTCGCCGCTCCAGGCCAATGGGGGCTGCAGGAAGCAGCGCGGGCCGAGGGATGTGCTGGCCGCCACTTCCCGCAGCCCCCATTGGCCTGGAGCAGCGAACCGCGGCCAGTGGGAGCCGCGATCGGCCGAACCTGCGGACGAGGCAGGTAACAAACTGGCCCGGCCTGCCAGGGGGCTTTCCCTGGCGGGCCGTGTTCCAAAGGTTGCCGATCCCTGGACTGAGACCTGACACGGCATCTTTAGATTATAAGAAAATTATGAGCAGGGACAGAAGTTGGAAATCAACCTTAACTAGACCAGGTGCTACTTGCCCTCCCAGTTACACACATGAGGCTATATTCTCACTCCCATTATGCTCTGGAGCATCAGGAGTGTTGTGTCTGGCCTGGCCCCACCCCATCCCACTCCTTCATGATCCCTACTCTCAACAGAGTGTGCAGGTGATGCAAATCCACAATATCTTCATGCCAGTCAATGATTCTTCTGTGCTAAAGGAATCCTCAGCTGCATCTTCGAGTACTGTGTGAGTGATACAAAGGGACTGAGGAGGTGGGTTTCTAATAACCCCGTATCTAGTAATGGAGTTATTCATGACTGGCACTGGTGTAACTGGGAGGAGATTCAGGCCCATACTTGGATATGTATTGCAGTGTGCTCCTTTCACAGTGTATTTATTTGGCTGAAGGAAGTCAGGGAAAACAAAAACACTTCCAATATGCTTGGCTGATAAGTATAGATGGCCCAAATTAGCTCAGGTCACTGGGGACAATTTACAGTTTGCACAAGGAATTATAAAACAGGATTAGGAAGAGAAAACACATCCACTACTACTTCTGACCAGCACAGGGTGGACTTGGCATTAAAGGCTCCTATATCTAGCCAGCTAGATTTTTGCGAAAGGTACTGCTCTATAAAGAAACTTTTGTTAAGCAGCACTTCTTATTCATGTTACCTAATTTGCACATTCTGCAGCACACTGTCGCTATCACGGAGTGGGGCCTCTATTCCTGTGAATGGCAGCCAGCTGTCTTTCAACTCTGCAAGCTTCTTTGCAGCTTATTTATAAAACCATTTGAAGGCTGACCTCATACTCATTTCACACAAAATAAACCCTGGAAACACGCAGAGCCACAAAACTGTCAAGTCAAACACTTACTGCATTTTTGTAGAAGAAATACAGCACCATATTGGCAAGCCGGGAATAACACCAGTGCCCGTGAACAAGCAAGAGCTTTTCCAAATGCCGAAATCTTGGGACTGCAAAGTCACTCGCCATCACTGCCTTCAATGAAAGAAGAGTTGAAATCATTATTGTAAAGTGTCACCTAAGACACACAGACAGTGCATTTGAGTATCCTGCAAACATCCACAAACGTAAAGCAAGAGTAACTCCATTAAAGTCCAATGGAATTGGATTAGTTCCACCCTGGTGTAAGTGAAAGAAGAGTCTGGCCCATTGTTTCCTCAATGCTTTCACAAATCGTTATAATTTTATAGTGCCCAAAAGCAAACCAGGTGCTTCAGAGAATACACAAAATGACAGTGTCCTTGCTCCTAGAAGATTACAATCTACACTACTACAGATGGTGACACGAGTGACAAACCATAGGAAGGAAGTGGGGTGAGGAAGGACCAAGAGTTATAGTTGTGTGATTGCACAGATGCTCATAGATGATGGCTGTGAGCTTTTCTCTTTTTAAGAAATACAAAGAAGACAGTATTATTTTGTGCAGAAGAAGGGAGTTTTCAGGAGGGATTCAAATGACTGAGATAAATAATAATATGCTACATTACAATTAGTGGAGATAAAAAGGCAAAACACCCAAATAATTTATTTTAATTAATGATCATGATCTTGACTTGCAAAGATTTGCCCAACCCACATTCCCCTGAGATCTCAGTATTCTGAGGAAATTTGTTTTAACTATATTCAAGTTCACTAAATTGTGAGAAATCATTACAGAAGAGGTTCCCCTGAAATTTTAGAACCTGCCAAATCACATCTATGGTACGAATCACCACCATTTCTTTCTATATCATAGCTACTTTTGACTGCCTAAATTTCAAGGTAAAGTATGCCCAAGATTTAAGACCTCACCATGAATGGAGCGGTATATCAGTTGCTTTAGATCCCTCCAGGGCATTGAGTTGGCCACAGATTCCACCTACAGTTGTATTGCTTTTTAAATTTAAATTTTTATTGTCTTATTCATTCACAAGGATGCCTACATCTGTTTCCTTCACCCCTACCCATTTTCTAATTCTATTATGGAATGATGAGGTAAAATTGTTTACTTTTCTTTATTTTGTGTTTCCACCAAATTATTCCAAAACACATTCTAAGAGTTTTTAAAGGTCTATTTTTGATATGGATGAAGGAATGGAAAGATAGTTTTATCCAATTACACTTGCATATTTATCTTATCCCAAAATATCAGCATCTTGACATGTTCATTCTCCTCCACCCCCCAGGTTTTGCATAGGAAAGCGTGGTTCATACTCCATGCTGCTCCTTCCATAGCATGTGAAAGAAAAATAAATCAGCCAGTTTGCTGTCTGAGAGATCCAGATGCTTGACTCCTTTGAAGTACCTGCATGTATACAATTTTGACAGCTGCTTATTGTACAAAGGCATGCATGATTTCCTACGGAACCCTGGGATCAAAGGCGGGGGATCCATAAGCCTTCCCACTATGTGTGAACATTCATTAAAAAATAAACATAAAAAGAGAAATAATCCAGGTGGTTTAATGGAATAACAAGCGAAATGACAAGCTTTCAGAGCAGAATGCACTGAAATGGCTAGGGACACTGAAAGACCAGATGTCTCAGAATTACAAGATCAACTGAAAAGAGGAATTGGAAGGAGGAAAAAGAAGAGACAGAGAAAGCGAGAGACGTGGAGTATTATATCTGGGAACTAAAATGATGTTCTTGAGAAATCAGGGGTTTGAGTTCACGCAGAGATGCTAGCAGCCGATTCAAAGTGCAATGGAAAGACTCCCACTGACTTCAGTAGGCCTTGGAATGGGCCCTCGTACAAATAGCCTGCTCAGGATTCCACGCTTGGTAGGCTCTATTCAACCCAAATGTCCCCCCATGCTTGTAAAGCCTGGGGAAGCTGTGTGAGGCTCCCAGGCTCAGCATCTGCTGAGTATACTCCTTACTCTCATCCTGATTACAGCAGAAAGCCCTGTTAAAAAAAAACTATTTCAGTCTTAGCCCAAGGTTTCATCTTTTACTGCCCAACTGCCCTGCCATATATAGCAATCAGGCTCTCTGGAATGATGGCCAGAAACACAGGCATACTGAGTGAATCCCCAAAAAATCTCAGCAGGGGCAGCTTCTTCCCAGCTGATTGACAGACAAACAGGGAAAAGGTTTTACATGGACTGCATGACAATCAGGGGGGCTGAGCTCCCCTCCCCACCCAAACTAGCGCTCCCTTAACTCTCGCTGCAGCTACTCACATTCCAAGGGCTGTAGAGCAAAACTCATATCCAACCTGCATGTGCCAGCAGGGAGAGGAGAGCAGGCCTTGTGCACTACTTAGGCATATTGTCTCAATAAGTTGGCTTGGAGCACAAGTGGGATATGCAGCCTTCTGAGGCTTATACTCTTCAGGGCCACCTATCTTAGCTGCATTAGGTAAATAGATTTGTCCAGCCACACTAGAGGATAATTTTACAGGACCAGTGCAGGAGATCAGAAGAAATAAAGCCAGAGGAGGAACATGAAAGAGGGGGAAGTCAATTTAATCTTTATTTATTATAGAAATAGGACATAGCTGAGGGCTTTTTAAAATTAATAACTGATTTCTTTAAGAAGTAAATGTGCTGAAAGACCTCCTGTAATTTGAGTTTTATGAGGTGAATGTAAAATGTTTAAGCTCACCACAGATTGGATAAGAAACATATGCTCGAACTCAAGCATAAGTGATTTTTTACAAATCCCAACTGGTACACCTCAGGGCAGCTTGCAACTTGCTCGTATACTTTTGCAGTCTGTCAAGAGGTAACTTGCTCTCACTGACTGGGAGGCAAGATGCAAACAGACATACGGAAAACATTTGGTCCAACGTTTTCCTGGGGAAACTTTTCAATAAACAACCCACATTACCTGCATGCCCTCTGGACCAGAGATCCCCACACCCACGTCTGCCACCTGGATCATGCTGACATCATTAGCTCCATCACCTAGTAACAATAGGATGCAACATTGTTTGATATTAATAAAGCAGTGATGATTAATGGCAGAAAAACAAAGGAAAAAATAGGTGACTGTAAAGCGTCAGTGAGAAAGGCTGGCATAGGGACCAGGTTTGAAACACCTGTACTTCATGGAACTACAGTTTCAAAGCCTTAGAAGGGACCACCAGGCCCTTAACGTCTATCTATCTAGGTTTTTGCTATACCATGCCAAGGAAACATAATCTGAGTACTTCTGTATGAGTGGGTCTCTTTAATGGGACCTGGAATACAGAGATCATGTCTGTGTTGCATGGATATTAAGGAGACCATGTGCAACAGGGAAACAAACTCCTGAAAACATTCCTGCTGCAAACTAACTGACTGGAAGTATTAAGGGACCCTAAAATTGGGCATGAGGCTGGGCACAATGGGATAAACTCTATGACATTGGACTCAGAGTGGGGAAAGGAGGGTTGTGTGAGGAATAAGCAGAGCTTTCTCAATTTAAAGTGCGGGAATCTTGTGGGTGCTGCAGGATTCTGAACTGGCTGACTGACAAAGAGTCCCCACTATCAACCACATAATGGAAAATGGTTGTTAAGAACTATGTTAGCTGACATGATGCTGATCACAACTTTACAATCACTGTAGTCCCGGACAACTGGTGTTCAGCACCGTCAGCTACTCATGATAAAAAATTGACGGCCTTGGGTTTAATCATGAGTAGCTGAAATGATGCTGAACACAGATTTGTCCTGATCTATACTGCAAAGCAGTGGTCAATGGTGTCAGCTCACTCAATTCTTTACAAAACGTTGCTCTATTCAAGCACCATTGTGGAGTAGACCAGCTCCATTTGGCCAGCTTCTGCAGGAAGTAATCCCAGATGTCACCTTAGAAACTCTATTTTTGTTTGGAATAAATGCTCTTAAGCTCACAGAAGCATTTTCAAACTAAAATTGAAGGTTTTAGGTTTCTAAAGTATCCAGAAGAAAAGGGAAATCCATAAGGGGTGTGTGCATGTAAATACAGGCTCATTTAAATGGAGATACTTGCCTATTGCCAAGGTCATTGCTTTGAGTTTATCTCGGACTAGTTTTACTACCATGCTTTTTTGCAGTGGGGTAGAGCGACAACACAGAACCGAGCGACATCTCCTGGCTAGTGAAAGAAATTTGTCTTCTAGTGTTTTATCCAGTGCATAAGCCAGAGTCTTTCCATCAATCACCAGGCCCAAGCTGGAATGCACTGAAGATGAAGGTGGAGAGAGAGGGCAAAACCCAACTGTCGTGTTTCCAGCAGTCTTGTCTATTGTGTTGTTTGAAAATTTAGACTCTATATATTGCAGACAGTGGTCCAGCAGAACAGCACTTGTCTCCTGAAATACAATACAAAAATAAATATGTTTAAGTGAAAGTTGCTGCTGTGGGATCATGTAATCAACTTACTGTGCTTGTTATAAATTTAGAAATGGGGAACATGAGAGTCTGCACTATTGATTCCACTTTGACAATTTTTATTTCTATTATTCTTTCCTCCTTCTTTACCCCATCTAAAAACACTTAATTTTTGTTGCAGAAGATACTGCCAGCAATGGATAAATAAAGGGCTTAAAAGCAATTCTGTTTACTTTTTAACCTGCAGTGCTGTCTTTTAAACTGATTTCTTGCAGCTTGTCCTCAGAATAGCAGAATTGACATGTGATAGAATGAGAATCCAGTGCTGAGCTAACTATGGTGATGAGCATCACAGAATGCCTATTAATCAAATCATTGATCAGGTATTTGTAAATGCCAATTAAAAGTTATTTAACTTATTTTAAAATCTATATCCTAACCAAACTGAATTAATAGAATGTATTAGTAACATATGAAAATTTAAGATAAAATGCTACCAGTCTTGTAGCAAAATATTTTTCAAGTTATCAGAAGTAAAGAAGTGAAATCATAGGAAATCAATTTACCAGCTAACTTGCTACACTAAGAATGGACCATAGTTATCTTTTCCTTCCTTTAGAAAGGAATTGTAGTTGGATAGTGCCAGTCTACCTCCAGTTCTGGATTTGAAAACTGATTTAATCACCACATTCAATTACTTTGGTGCTATCAACATGGTTCCTTCTATGTTTGACCATATCAGCAAACCCCTTGCTATTGTGTATTTAAGACAAGCTGAGCAATGCCTGACTGTATCTCGGGTTATCAGTCCATCATGACTATGAGCACTGAAATTCAAACATTTTCCTTACCATCAAATGAAAAATCAATGTAGCAGAGTATGAATTAGTGAATTATCTAGTATTACTGTCCATTGGTTTTAAAATAATTATTCTCAACAGGCAGTTCATTGTTTTCTCCTTCAAAAACATATGATAGATTGCTTTTGTATTTTCAGAGGGTGCCAATAAGAAATAAGTGAATACTATGTCCTGGCATGTACCTTACCATGGTATGCCCCAGTGGCTCTCAACCAGCGGTCTGGGGCCCCCTGTTGGGGGCGCGAACAGGTTTCAGGAGGAGGTCTGCCAAGCAGGACCAGCATTAGATTTGCTAGGGCCCAGGGCAGAAAGCTGAAGCCCCACCCCATGGGAGTATAAATAATTAATAAATAAATATCCACATACAAATCCTATCCCCAAAATATAGATTGAACAGGAAGAAGAAAGATAAAAAAGAAGACGAAAGCAATCAACCTTTTAACTGCAGCTGCCAAAATCAAAGCAAAACTAGTTCACATTTGGACTTCAACCTAACATTTAACCATCTGACAAGGATCTGTTTACCAGTGATTCAGCATTCAAGGTGATGATTTCCTCATCATGATCTAGTAGCTTGCATGCATAAGCTATATTAATAGCTGTTTCTTGCTTGTCTCCAGTGAGAATCCAAATTTGCAGCCCAGCTTTACGTAAGTTTGCAATGGTTTCTGGGACACCATCTTGTAAACGGTCTTCAATACCAGTTGCACCTGAACACATGAACAAAGCAAATAAATCAATGTTAAATAAATACTTGGTTACTCAAACTGTTACATCATGAGTTCGTCTTAAAATCTGGTTTTGGAAACACCACCAGTCACCTTCATTGGCAGATAACTCCTCTAATTTAACAAATGTAAATTAAATTCTGACCACCATGATCAATAATGACAACAGTTTTTTTGCAGGCAGCATAGGGGCTGTGAGGCGAGGGGAAAGATGAGGTTGGGGTAAATAACCAATCAGTCAACAGACAACATCATCCAGAGTTCAAATCCTAAAAAGCAGTCTGCTGACATCACCAGTACCAACAGGATTAGAATGTATGGGGAACCTCCATAGTACTCTTGCTGGGTCTCTGCCTGCTCTGTTGCCTCCATTACTTCTTCTGGCTGTTGCTAGGGAAGATACTGTTGCTCCCAGGGGCTAGCTCCACCCCAGAAGGTCTTGTTCTGCTTCCCTTATGCCACATGGCTAGCAGGCTCACAGGGTCTTGTGCCCTTTAAGAGAATCTCCAAGAGGGGATTTCATCAACTACTGGCTGGATGCATGGCAACAGAGCAGGAAGCCTAGACTGGGCCTCTCCCTGCTCCACTGCTGATTCTGGCTGTCACAGTATGACATTGGGTCCCAAATGAGATATGGCAGAGGGTAAATCATAGAATCACAGAAATATGGGGCTGGAAGGGATTTCCAGAGGTCATCTAGGCCAGCCCCCTACATTGAGGCAGGACCAGAGTAAGCCTATTATTTCTAGTCTACCTTCAGTGGACAACGAGAACAATTGATCATCTTCCTCTTTATAACAGCCCTTAACATATTGAAGACTTATTAGGCCCCCCCCTTAGTCTTCTTTTCTCAAGAGAAAACATATCGTTTTCTTATCTTTTCATCATTTTGTTGCTCTCCTGTGGATTCTCTCCAATTTGGCCACATCTTTCCTAAAGTGTGGATCCCAGAACAGGAGACAGTACTTCATCTGAGGCCTCACTAGTGCTGAGTAGAGGGCAATAATTACACCCCGTGACTTACGACACTCCTGTTAATACACCCCAGAATGATATTAGCCTTTTTTACAACTGCATCATATAGCTGACTCTCATTCATTTTGTGATCCACTATAACCCCTAGATCCTTGCCAGCAGTACTACTGGCCAGCCAGTTATTCCCCATTTTGTAGTTGTGCATTTTATTTTCCTTCCTAAGTATAATATTTTGCACTTGTCCTTACTGAATTTCATCTTGTTGCTTTCAGACCAATTCTCCAATATGTCAAGGTTGTTTTGAATTCTAATCCTGTCCTCCAAAGCGCTAGCAACCCCATCCAGTGTGGTGTCATCTGCAAATTTTATAAGCATACTCTCCACTACATTATCCAAGTCATTAAGCTGTTGCTTAATGCTATAGACCAAAACATGGGTGATAGGAAGGCACAGAACCTGGCCAGGGCCCGAGCCAATGTCTTGGGCCTAGTCCAATGCCTGCTAAAATCAATGAGGGTCTTTCCATTGACTTTTGTGTGGCACCATTTTATATCAATATAATTCTGTTGATGTCATCAGAGTTTAACTGATTTACACCAGCGTAAGCTAGAAGAAAATCAGGCTGATTGTGCCTCAGTTAGGCACAATGTCTCTGGGAGATGAGGGGGAGTTTTAGTTCTGCAGCACCTGTTCATAGGGTACAGCACATCCGCTGGTTTGCTGGCTGGTGCTGAGGTCCTGTTGCCTCTCTGAGTATTCTGGGGAGACTAGTTCCAACAGAGGTGCTAGCCTGGAGCAGTCCATGCGGTTACAAGGAATGCTACTGCCTATGCACAGCTGCAAGGGGAGAGATGTATCTCTCCCAACCTCACTGGTGCAATCCTGCAGTGCTTGCCATAGTGCACCAGTATGTGATTAGACTCAAAGTCTCTTCTACCACAGTTTGAGGTTGTCAGAGGAGAACTGGCAGAACAGATTGTTTATTTCTGGCTGGAGTCTATTTGTACTTATCCAGCTGTGGTTAACTATGTTTTTATTTATTATTAAGATGTGTCTGTACACGCAGAGTCAATAGAAGCAGCCCAGTCACATTTGCTTGAAATGATTAAAAACATTAGCACTGTTCCAGGTATCTTTGCCAGAGAAAGAAACTAATTGTCTGAAGAAATAATAGATATTTATAATTTATTGAGCTTTTGACATTTTAGTTAAGTAAATAAATAGAACTACTTAGCACTTGTACCATCCTTTACATTTACAAATGTTAATGACATCACGAGATCCCTAGGAAGTGACTGTTATTATCCCCTTTCTTCGGAGCACGCAGGCCCTGATCGTCCAAACACGAAAGTGCTTAACTTTATGTAGATGGTGTCAGGAATCAGGGCCTGCAGCAGAGCTAATCTCCAGGCAGCCTCATGAGTACAGCTGGCTTGCAGCAGGCTGCCTGATTGGCCACACCACCTGATTGACTGGCGGGACCAGCGGGCCACTCTTAAGCCAGCAGCAACAGCAGCTCGCTGGATGCTCAATGCTCATGCCCACTACTGTGCCTGTTCCAGTGTTAACTTGTTCCTGCTGCTCCTGTCCTGCCCCCAGCCTTGCCTCTGTCCTGCTCCTGCCCTGATCCCCTCCTTGCCTGCTATCCTACTTGCTCTAGTTCCGGACCTCTGTCTTGACCTATGGCTTTGGCTTCTGACTACTGGTTCAGGCTCTGACCCTAGACCTTGGTTCCTGATGCCCAGGGCTTAAATTCATCCAGAGCTGTCCAGAGCAGAGCTCCGGTAAATAGTTTCAAACCCATGTGGCAGAAGCCCTGAGCCCTGGCGTCCCCCATGGGGCAGAAGCCCCAAGGCACTGGTGTCCCCGCAGGGCAGAAGCCCCAAGCTCCGGCACCCCCCATGGGGTGGAAGCCCCGAGTCCTCGGGCTCTGGGAAATACTCTGTGAGAATTTAAGCCCTGCTCTAATCACCATTGCCTGATGCCCACTCTGATCACTAGGCTAGACAATCCTAGCTCCAGTCGCCTGACACATGGGCCGTCTCAATGAAACCACTTGTGTAAAGCATATGCATAAATCTTTGCAGGATGAGCACCACAGAGAGGTTACAACTTAGACCTTTCAAAGTACTCAGTATGTGACCCTAACTCTGCTCCCATTGAAATCAAGGGAAATTTTACTACTGACTTCAATGGGAGCAGTTAGGCTGATGCACAGTACTTTTTGATAATCCTACCCTAAGTGACTTGCCTGAGGCAACACAACAAGTCAACCAGAGAGTCCAGGATTAAATGAGTTCCTACTTCCCAGACTTGTCAAAGTGTTTGGTGCCCGAGAGGGATGAAAAATCTCAAGTATTTTCAAGATGCACCATCACTGTAACGAACATCTGCAGACAGATTGGGCCAAATCCTGCTTTTCTTACTCAGGTCAGCCAACTTCATTGAAGATAATGGGTCAGGTTCATCCCCAGTTTTACACCATTGTTTTAATTCAGGGGTTCCCAAACTTGGTTCATGGCTTGTTCAGGGTAAGCCCCTGGCGGGCTGCGAGATGCTTTGTTTACCTGAGCGTCCGCTGGTACGGCTGCTTGCAGCTCCCCGTGGCCGCGGTTCGCTGTTCCGGGCCAATGGGAGCTGCAGGAAGCAGTGCAGAGCAGGCCACCGCTTCCCGCAGCCCCCTTTGGCCGGGAACAGCAAACCACGGCCACTGGGAGCTGCGAGCGGCCGTACCAGCGGACTCTCAAGTAAACAAAGCATCTCGCAGCCCACCAGGGGCTTACCCTGAACAAGCCATGAACCAAGTTTGGGAACCCCTGGTTAAGTTGGTATTACATCAGGCATAAAATTGTTACCTAAGCAAGGCAAACAGGATGTGTCTTATGTTAATTATTATCCCATTCTTTTGCGATCATGCAAGAGACTCTTGTGAGAAAGTCCAGTAATAACCAGTTTCTGTATGCATAGAAATCATTGAAAAGATAGAGCAGAGTTTTAAAATCGAACTTTGAAAATGTTTAACACATTTTAATTTCATGTCCGGCTCTCATGTAGTTACCGAGTAGATGCAGATTTGTCTCTATACGAAGTGCAGATTGAAACAGCAGCTCTTCGCGGTTTTCAATAGAAGATTCTGCTTCTAAATGACTTTTTAACCAACTAGCATATTCTTCTTTGCTTAGAACCTATTTAAAAGGAGAAGGTAAGAGTACATCCAAAAAGATGCATAAGCATTCATGCATTACTGAGTAAAATGAAAAAAAAATCCCTAATAAATGTTCTTGCTAATGGACCGCAACAAAAAGATTTGTCAATACTCTCCTTAAAAGCAAACTAAGAGCTTGCATATACTTACTCTCTTGGCAATACACAAGGTCCGCAGCCCATCTACAGCATACAGATTAAGGTAATTCTGAGTTTTGCTTTGGATTTTTTTTTGATGATTGCCTCTAGGGTCAACTAGTTAAAAATAAAGGAGAAAACTAATGAATGAAAAATAATAGCAATTAAATGGCCTTAGAGAATATATTGTTTCTTCAGCACTTACTGTACAAAAGCTTAAGAAGCAATACTTTTAAAGAGCTCCTGATGTCTCATGGAAAATTTTGAAAAGCCTTCTATTTAGAAACAATTCTCTTTACATACTATCTATTTTTTAATTCCCTGTTTAAAAGTCACCAAGAACAAACAATGAGATCTTTCCTTATTAAGCATTCATCTGCTCCTCAAGTATTTTGTGACATCATGATAATCTCCATAGCAACCATGTATGTCACGAACAGAGGTGTGTTTTCAAACTGGCAATAAACAGAAGCAGATGGGCTATGTATCAAAAATCTCATTATTAACCAAATGTTTCTAAATAAATGTGGGTAGAAAAGATATTTAATTTTATTTAGAAATAATACTAAGTTCTCAAAATGATCTTTTCAAGAGTTGGAAAGGGATGATATTTTTATCCTCCAGGATCAAGACAGACTCAAGTACAATGTACGATCACAGCAATAACCAATATTAAGAATTAATTATAATAACAGTGATAAAGTGAACATAGAAGCAGACAAGAGAAAGCATTTTAGGTTGAAACAACAGAGTGAGGATACTCGAGAAACCTCGATATCTTGAGGCAGCAAGTTTACTATAAACCAAAATAGTTTCTGAAAGTCTACAAGTTTTCTAGGTTTATAAGACCTATGACTTCAGAGGGATAGGCCTATGCAGTGTTCCTCAGGCAATACTGGTGTCACTGGAACTTCTTGCTTTTACATGGTTCACAGTTGTGATTGAAACTGGAGATAAGGGGTTGGGAAGGCACAGTTTGGTGGATATAGTGTTAGCAGTTCTTGGTAAGTTTGCTCTCACCCAGCAAGGATATTAGCAGCGGGTCTTGAGAATAGAACTTTCTAATATCAGATCAAATGACGATAGTGATGATTGATATATTTATCCAGGGTATGGACATGTGATGTCTGTCTTATCTATCTTGGAGTTTTATACTGGCACTCAACACCATAGTATCTGAGCACCTGCCAGATAAAATCAACAGCAGCAACAAAGTCCCTAGTGAACTTCATGAAGTCTCTGGCCCTTTTTCCTTGTCATGGTAAATAACTCTGCTTTTCTTTTTGATCTTATTAATTTCCTTTTATATTTTTATTTTCTGGTAGTTGATTTTTTGGGGTATTATTTTCTTTCAGCATTTCCTTGTTTCAGGGCAGCAGGTCCCTGTCCTAAGTTTCCTAAGCAATGGTAGTGCACATTACTAACAATGGCTTAGCAGACTTATAGTAGAACTGGCTTTTTGTCATTGTTTGCCCAACCTTGCTTAAATCTGGTTTGGCTTCACAACTTCAAGTTTCATGTTTCTTTTAGGAAACAGTTTTGAGGGAATACATATGCATACCAACAACGGAGAGAGTAACTTATCAAAAGATATGTGCTGATACTCAAGTAACTTAAGACAGGTTTCTTTGCTGGCATTCTTGGATTTGGTGTGTATGCAACTCTTTTACAACAATTGGAAAGATAATTCTTTCAAGGATGTCCAGCCTTTAAATCTGGTGTCACTCTTCTGGTTGTGTTCCAATTCTCTTATCTGAAAAATCTGTTATAATAATCTTCAACAATTATATAATCTAAGTTGTTGCACATAAACAGATGATAATCAAGTAATTTAAGACAGGTTTCTTTGCCAGAATTCTTGGATTTGATCTGTATGCAATTGTTTTACAACAACTGGCAATTATAATTCTTTCAAGGATGTCCAGCACACGTAGCCAAAGGAATCAGCCAAAATCTATTTTGAAAGTTGATAGTTGTGGTGTCTATGCAGTTGTCCAGTACCTTGACCTTGCATTCACCCACTCAAACAGTGCACACTCGTAAATGTATATGTGATGTCTTCAACAGCTGGCAAAGGACGACATGTTTGTTTAATTACTCAGAACCAAAGAGAGAGTCAGGTTTGCTTGTTTGGGCTTTTTCCATGACCACAAGTGAGTTAATCAAACCTGTCATTGCTTTACTAATGAGACCCGTATGTAATCTAATTCCTGCTCAAGTTGATTACTCAGTTTAAACAGTAACTTTCCTCTTTATGGACTGTAGGAGTCCCTGTTTGGCAAGGTGAAAGGAATATTATCCTGGGAATAATCCAAGTGCTTTGAAAAATTCTGCATATTGTGTGAGAACACCAGCTTTCATAGTCTCAACTGGAAAAACAAATAGCTCCAATGTAATAAATTCAGAAATCTTACAAGTTTTCAAGCTCATTGGTGGTTTCTGATTATTCACAAGATAACACTCAAGCTATAGCATGGCATTTTTGCATCTGCTTTCTGGCTTGCATGTACATCATACTTTAAAATGTCCTCCTCCGTAGCCAGACAGTTTGTTCCGGTAATGGAACCTGACATTTGGATATTGTAGTGGTCCCTTGGTCTCAGGCTTGGAGGGGGGCCACTCTGTCTTGCTGCATCAGGCACCAAACAACAGTAAATTAGCCATCAATGGCTCTGGCCCTCTGGGTGGGACAGAGCAGTAAGCAGTCTCTAGTCCCAGCTTCCTGGCTAGGGCAGACAACAATCACAGTCTAAGGCCAGAGCAATAAGCATGGTCACAGGCCTTTGGGCCTAAGGGACTCTTGAAGATAAGGTCCCTGCAGGATGGATCCCCAAGTACAATTCCATGAATGAAGCTGAACAACCAAGATAGCGTTTGTACCCATGGACAGATTAATTGATACTTAAGGTCACTCAGAGCAGTTTACTAAAGACAACCTACTTATGGCAGCTGATCATAGTGCTGAGAAGGAAGGTAAGAGCAATTACTACACTTTGCTATATTTATGAATCCAAAAGTTACAAAACATCATGACTCAATTCTGGATAAGAGTCTTTATAAAAAAAAATATCCAAAATTCTAAAACCAGGGTCAGTTTAGACATCTCCAAGTGCTGTGGTTCAGAGTTGTTCTATTTCCGTGTGCCCATCGGTAGAAATTACCCCTTCCGAACAGCAATTTTCAAAGCTCTCTCCTTATCCTTTTCTGACCAATACCAGAATATTTGTTTTACATTAACAGCAGATTTTTTTTTGCAACTGCCTATGTCTGGAAAAAAAAGCAGCATCTTTTTCTCCTAACTTTAATCTCATGGTGAGTTCTATTAAACTTTCCCAGCATTACAAATTCTTTATTAACACTTTGGAGGGAAACAAGTAACCTCAGATGTGTTATGTGCATTCCTTGATATCAATAACTTTATCAGACATTATTCAAGAATCCTTTATAGTGAGCTAAGGACAAGTTCTTGAATTTTTGCCTCTGCTGTGACCTATATAGCTGTAAAGCAGAAAACTAATTGTGACAGCCTGAACTCATGAAATACCATGGACAAACTTTATTGAATTAAGTTAAACCTTATTGAATTAGGGTTAATACCTCTGTGGTCCATTGTATTAAAAATGCAGTTGTGTATTGTTATTGTGGAATTGTATGTAATTCCCCTAGGAGGATGGGGATGCTGATGTAATTCCTCTGGTTATCAGCCCTTTGAAGTCACCCTCCTGGAGAGGTACACATATACCAAGTCAAACTTGATTTTCGAGGGTCCAATAAAGAGAGGATTTTTGGATAAATAGCCTGGTTTTAAACAGGCTCAGAGCCTTCCTCCTGCTCCTGCAAATAGACAAGATCCCAGGTCCATGGAGGGCCCAATCCTTACGGAATGGTTGGAAGGACTTGGCCTATTAAGGCCCCATAAGACTGGGTGTTTGTTATGAGCTGATGCTGTGCTGAACTTGAATCCAAAACAAAAACCCTTACGAGGGGTGTGGAAGGATTGCTCCTGCCAGAGCCCATGTAAGGGGTGGGGTGATCTCTGGTAAGCTTATTAGCAGGTAGGCAGGTTCCTTTATTGTTTTTAATATGTTTTCTCTGTAATGCTTTTTACCTTAAGAACAAAGTAGGCTTTCTTAGAAAGAGCTGTGTGGTAACTTATAACTGTGGGCAGTCACACTGCTAACTCTCTCTGAAGAGGACGCAAGCACATGTGCTTGGCCAGCCTGTCCAAGCACATGTGACAGTTGTTCTGAACTGTGACACTAAATTAACGTTTCCTGTAGCTCTTTAATGAAAATTACACAGTATGATCCTTTCACTGGTATTTACTGCAGCAGCCGTCAGTAATGTGAAAGTAACCATAAAGTCAACACACTAGTGAGATACAGGAAATCTCTGTAATACATTAGATTTCTGTCCAGTCACACTGGGTTAACATTTGAATGTTGTACATAATTAAATGTTGAACACAGTAAATCAGACATCACACATATTGAAAAACCTAGGTCTCAAATAAGTGTATAAGAGCTGACCAGGTTGTCTTTAAATCCAATTGATTATAATAAAGAGGCATTAAGATTGCTTCTGGTTCACAGCATGTTCACATATTTGAGACTTTGTAACTGAAAAAACACCTTCCAAAAGCTAAGCTTCCTGTTCACAGTTAGAAGTCTATTCATCACTAATCATCTGCATCTTTAAAACTAAGACCACTAGTAATTACCCAAACAACATTTCTCTTAATACAAAAACATCTGAGTAAGCAAGCAATGTTGGGAAAATGTACTCAATGAAAGGTAAATTGATTTGGCAAGGTCTTGAAAAATGTTCACTTAAAATAAGGTTTGCCATTGGGAAAGCTCATACTGAAATCAATAATACTCACATTTCTTTAGGCAAAGTACCAACAATCCATTATAAGAAGTTACTGGTTATTGAGTTTATAAAAGAAGCAGAGAGGTCCTGCTATAATATATTTCCGCATACCCGTAAACGATACAGACATGGCTCTATGCTAGAGAGCTGCAATCGGACATGCTGAGATTGAAGTTCTCTAGCACTGTCTAAGAGTGAATTGGAAAAAAAGTAAGCGAGAACTATACCTGAAGAACAGGGCAGAAGAAGATCCATAATAACTGAATCTGCTCCTTTGGTGTAAACATTTATTTCATCTGTAAGGGGATGCCTAACCACCACTGACATTCTTTTTCTGATGGAATCGAAGCCCAGTGTGTGCAAGAGTTCAAAGGTTAACCTTCCTAGATGAGGTAGCTCTACTGATACCTGGTCAGACAGTCTTCCAACCAGAGCACAGTTATATGCCCGAGCTGCATAGACAAGCGCAGCTTCATCTGGACTCTCTGCCTCATAACGGAGTTCTCCTCCTTCCGGTCTACTTCCTATAGCCCTTCTTTCCTGCTGTGAGCTATATCCATTGTTATTCATCTGCGGAGAGTGCGCCAACTTCTCTTCCAGTTTTAATAAAGTGCTCTCAGTGGATGTAGATGAAAGAATACTAGAACCGAGTCTGGGCATTGATTTACTGGTAGTCAGGCTTGATGAACTGCTGCTGTTAGATCCAGAGGTCAGACGGCTGGGAGTGAATCTTCGAATGAAGTCTTCTATGGTCTTTACCGGCGACTTCAGTTCAAATCTAACTCTAACCTTGAGAAATAAAAACCAATCACCAAAAAAAAAAAAGGATATATAAGAAATCTGACATTGTCATTTGATAACTCAAAGTAAGAAGCAAATCTCAGTCAGTGGCAAAAAGCTACGACAATCAGAGCTGAACAAGTAAGTGACCAAAAATCCCTAGGCTGACACTGTACCAGAAATGTTACTGGAACCAGTATGTATACACTTCAGAATTTACACTATTGTTGACCCTTCCTTGTGGAACCAATGTTAGAATTGCACCCAAAAGTAATGTTAATATAATTAAAACCTTTGCACTCTATGGGTATGTCTAAGTGTGTAAATCCAGCTTGAAGAGACATACCCCTGCTAGCTCTGATCAGGCTAGCACATTAAAAATAGAAGTTACTCCTGGGGGATTTCTGTGCCACTGCGTGTGTGCATAATTAATGAGCCACACGTATTTTTAATTTTTTGCTCAGAAAAAAGCTTCTGCTGGAAAGTTGCTGCAGTTCCGCATTTTGCCCATCAGAGGGCACTGTGGTGATAGACTAGAGCAGCAGCTCCCAGCCAGCTAGGGAAGAGAAAGAGGCTGCAGTGCCTTCTCCACAGCACCTGTCGGATCAGGTCATGAGACGGAGACTATGGGGAGACAGACAGCGTAGGGCTGCTGGGGGTCAGACAAGGGATCATAAGGGCTAGTGGGGGAAGACAGTCTGGGGTAGGGGCTGAATGGGAGTGGAGGCGCAGGGCCACGGGGGGGGAGGGAGGTGCAAGGCCACATGGGGATGAGAAGGGGGTGCAGAGCTACAGTGGGGAGGGGGATGGCTGAGTGGGGGCACAGACACTTGCAGACAGGGGGAGGGGGTGCAGCGCCACATGGAGATGGGGGGAGTGGGTGTCTGAGTGGGGATGGAGGGACACTTGGGGACAGGGGCAGTTGTGCCTGAGTGAATGGGAGAGGCTAGAGGTCAGCCAGGGTCTGCATGGGTCAAGCTCCCTAAAAATCCCTCTCCGCTCCCCACCCCCTGCAAAAAGCTGTTCCATACTTTTCCCACCCATACACAGCAATGCTCCAAGTTCACACCCAGGCTCCTTCCCAGTAATTACTTCCCTCTCCCTCAGCTCCTCCATTACCCCTGACTCCCCCAAGCCTTTGCACTACTTCTGAGGGGTGTGGGAAACATGGTTCTGTATTGTAATTTAAATGAATTATTACTCAGAGTTCTGTATTAATATGCCTAGTAAGGAATTTATTTGTCAAAAAATACATCCTGAATCTTTTTTGTTGTCTGTATTGTTACAGACATACTTACTGATAGGTATTTTGAAATAAATAACCAAAAATAATTGAAACTAGTGTGATTATATCGTGTTATTTTGACAAATAAAATATGCAGAATTTGAAAATATCGAGTGCAGTATCTTAAATATTTTGTTGGAGATTTTTTATTTTTTTGGCGCAGAATTCCCCCGGGAGTAAGAAGTGTAGCCATGTTGGTGTGAGCAGCAGGAGGGGCTACCCACACCGAGTATGATCCCATCTGAGACTATAGGTATGTAGTTGGGGTAACTAGCTCCTCCTGCCACTTGTGATGCTGTGGTTACACCACTATTTTTAGTGCACTAGCTTGATCAGAGCTAACCAGGCATGTCTCCTCCTACTGGAATTTACACATTCCAGCTCTAGCGTAGACATACCACTTGTGTGTATTCAGTAAAGTTGGTCGAAAAAATGTTTATGGAACACTTCTATGGGAAAATGCAGTTTTGATGAAACCTAAATGTTTCATGGGAATGTGTCCATTTCAACACCATTTTAGACCAGACGAAGTTGAAACAAATCATTTCAACTTTCTCTTTCATTTTGATAATGTTGAAACATTTTGTTTTGATAAGGTAAAATGTTGTATTCTGATATTATCATTTTAATTCATTTTGTTCAGACTTGTATATTATACTAAAATATTAATTTACAATTATATTATATTCATGATATTTAATGTTATATATTATAATGTTTTAACATCAAAACAAAATGTTTCAATGGTTCCAAATTGAAATTCTTTGGAATTTTCATTTTGTGGGACATTTTGACATTTCTGCTAAGAGAGAAAACAAATTTAGAAATGTTAGTATTTCCTGTGGAATGGAAACTCCAGCTTCTGACCAGCTCTAATATTAAGTCTAATGATATTTGTGTGATATACATTAGATGGTGAGTGTTTTGTTCCACTTCTCATTAATAAATGATACTACTTTGTAAGTACATAAGTCTTCCAAATCATCAGCTGTCATAATCTTGCCCAATTTATATTATTAATTTTCTTTTACATAATTTGCAACATTTAAGAGGAGATTTTGTCAGCACACCCTCTTTATAATATTTTTAAAAAATAATATAGCCTTCTAAAAATGTAGTTGATATAAGCAAAATATTTATAAAGAACTGCCTATGTGCCCCTTATTCCAGGGGACTCTGACAAATTAACCTAAAACATGCCCAGAGATGTGAATTATGTTTATTTAAGAAGTTTCAGTATGTGAACTCAGGAAGGAAAACAGTTTTAGAACGGCTTCAAAAATTGCAGTACATACAAATAATCTGTTGGGGTTAAGAGAAACAGTTGAAATACACCTTTTAACTAATGCTTGACCTCATCACTAATTTTAAACATGTATATGTTGTTTTCCTCATTGATGTATGAATTGGTGCCAAGAATTGTATCATAAACATCTCTGTTTCCTTCAAGGAAAGGACAGTTTTATGTCTCCTATTTACACATCTCGGAGATAATCAAATACAACATAATGGAGACTCACGCTCCATTTTGCTGTCTCTCTAACCTACCTTTTGCCGTGGCTGATCTGGAGAGGTAACAACAACTGTATTGCAAATAGTCAATGCTATAAAAAAGTCAAAGATGTCAGAAAGTTCAGGGGTGAGCTGGGATAATGGCTGTTCATGGCTTCTCATAACCTCAAGACTCCTTGCACATTCGTTTACTTTATCTAACAAATTAGGATCTGGAGTGATGTCTTTTTCCTAGAAATACAACAGGAACAGTGTTAATACTTTGCAGCTTCGTATATTTTAAAGTCTTAGACTGAACTGGTTCTGCCTGATGCATCAGCACCTCTCTGGTGGCACCATATATTTCTGGAGAATTTCAATTTTCCATCAAATGACACTTCCCCTGTCCTCTTTCCCCTAACCAGACATGCAGAAATGTGTACAATTTTAGGCCTTATGATTGCAACATTAATTTTGTGAACATAAACAGATGCAGGGGTGTCTTCCTCTCCCTGGTAGACCACCTAAAATTGCTCTAAAAATGATGTGGACTACCTCCATTAATTTCAATTGATTGTTAATACTGAACCCTAATGATGACAATTACATTGTAAATGAGCTATTGTTAATCCTTTAATTGCTGATCATTGTAACAGAAACATTCAGCTATTTTGGGATTGTGGAAGGAAATTGAGTAGTGTCCTGACATATCTTCCTCTCTTCAGTCTTACCTGCGAGAATTAGTGTAGGCTGCCACAATATATAGACCTATATCATGAAAAACAAGACAACAAAACTAAGAGCTACTTCTGACATCAAAACAGTAAGCTTACCCATTTTGCACCACTAAGAAATTGTTTAGCTCCACTATATTTTAACCACTTTGAACTTGAGAGAAGCTCATATGCCACTGAAATCAAAATGTGGCATGTTTCCCACTGTGATTAAACAACTATTACATTCCTTTCAGGGCAATGATATCAATTTCCTAGGAAGGCATAATGCTGGTTACAGAAAAGATACAAAGTGTGCTTCATAAAGATATGAGCCCTAAAGCATTGTCTTTATTGGGACTTTACTCCAGTTTCATCAATTGTTGCACAACTAGTGAGGTAGCTGCACCAATACAAACCCCGTGTGTCAACACAGAAAGCTGGGCGAATGGAGCTTACCATTGACTAAACCTGGGGTTAGCTCCATCAATGCAAATTGCAGCTTTCCTTTTCCACACTTGGGGTTTGCACTAACGCAGCTTCATTGCTGACTGGACATCAACAGCTGGAATTAGGGCAGACTCTCAAAGTATACAGGACCTAATTCTTCACTCCATTAAAGCGATTTAACTTTGGCAAAATTCCATTGGCTTCCATGTAAAAACACGGTAACCGAGTAAAGCAGTATGACCATGCAATATTAATGAGATAGCAATTTGCAGGAGGAAAAACATGCACATGACATGTAAAAACACATGTAGAGATTAGTCATGGAAAAATTATGAGAACATTGTTCCACTTAACTTTTCTGCATATGCAGGACGTTTTTGTTTGTTTGCTTTTTAATGTAACTTGCTCTATTTAATGATAATCTTGAACCACTTACACTTGAAACTATGGAATGACTTACAGTTGCAATTACAGGGTGAATTTGAATATATTAATATCACAGTTCCCAATCCAGTACTTACTATTCATGCATTTGTAAATCGCTGCTTCCCAAAAACTAAGATAGCATACATAGGCCAATTAGAACCCTTGATTTTAATCCTTAATCTAACATCAATTGCTGTAAACAAAGGGATGAAACACATGTTGTTCTTGAAAATCAAGGAATACCCAAAACTAAGGTTTGAGTTTATCTTTCTGAACTTGGAGCCTAGAGGGATGACTCTTTATATAAGAACTCTTAAAAATTTTTTTTTTTAAAAAAAAAAAAAAAAAAGCGATGAAAAGGAAAAAGCCAAGAAGATGAAAGCTGTGAAAAGTACACAATGTGGTACAGATTTCTTCATCTTTTCCCTTTAAAGCAATTGATACAAAAGATACAAAGCAAAGCACATTTGTTGCTCACAGCTAACCATTGGGCTGCTGAACGCAGTGTGCTTGGAGAGAATGCTTGCTCTTTTTGCTTCAGCCCTGCTGCCGGTGCGTCGGTGGGATTTCATACTCAGGCTTCTGTGGACAACCTTAATGCTCTGATGACTGCTGACACTGTTCCGCTGGGATAACGTTCCTCCTTTAGCTGCTGTTTCTTCCTCCTCAGAATCAGCTTCCTGGTACATGGCTAAACGTCTGGCTATTGACAGAAATACACAAAGTGTAAGATTACACGTTTTGTAGGGAAGAAGAAAGAGAGAGAAGTGGTGGCTAAAACTTTCTCTATGTGGTCTAGTTTTAGTATTATATTGCACTTTACTGTAAGAATGAATGATGCTATTATTACAATATAACAGGCTAGTCTTAATTGTAACATTTCTGGTACACTGATATCTTTTGACTAACGCAGATAAAATAATTAGCAATTTAATTCAGTTCACTGCCTGCCTCATCTTCAGCTCAGTGTGACCAGGCTATTAAGTTCTACAGTCGCTCACAAATCAATTGATGCCCATCATAAAATCTCCCTCCATAACATTTTTCTTGCTAAAACTATCCAAAAAATTTGCTTTTCAGTTATGGTTTATGAAGGAAAAACCTAAACTTTACTGTCCTCCAGCAAAGACTGGGAAATTTTGCCTTATGTATTTCTGCCCACAAACATTTCAGAATGAATCTATCTATGGTACTTATAAGGCCCTCATTATCTTAATATCTGGGCACTTCACAAGCTTTCCATGTTATAAAGGGGAACTGAGGCACAAAAAGGCTAAGTAACTTGCTCGAGTTCACATAGGAAGTTTGCAGCAGAGCAGGGCCAGGAAGCTAGGTTCCCAAGTTCTAGGCTGATCATTGGCCCATACTCTTTGAATGAAATCCTAAGCAAAACAAACATGACAATGCTAGGGAAAAGTACAGTAAATAATCAACTGCAACAGGTCATCAATAATGATTTTTAAAACCTCACTCTATGTGTAGAGTCATAACGTAGCTTATTAACGCTGTAGGATTGAAAACTGCTATGAATCGGGTTATTGCAATGGCTTGATTCTATTACTTATGTACTGCAGAGCACAAATATTAAGTGTACACAGAATTAAGTTTGCTTCAGAGTTTTCCCAGCAAGTTTTCCCATTTTTTAAAATCAAATCTTTAATCAACTGTGTAACTACAAAAGTTTATGATAACAAGCTACAGTGGCAGTTTAATCAGCATAAGGAAGATATCACTGAACAAAAAAATGTGCAAAACAGTCTTGATGTAGCGCACATCTATTTCTAGCGGATTTCATTATTTCTAGGGCTGTCAAGCGATTAAAAAGTAATTGTGATAAATCGCGAGATTAAAAAAATAATCACACTTAATCACAGTTATAATCACATTGTTAAACAATAACAGAATATCATTTATATAAATATTTTTGGATGTTTTCTACATTTTCAAATATATTGATTTCAATTACAACAGAATACAAAGTATACAGTGCTCACTTTATATTATTATTTTTTATTACAAATATTTGCACTGTAATAAAGATAAACAAAACAAATAGTATTTTTTTCAATTCAGCTCATACAAGTACTGTAGTGTAATCAAGCAGGCAGGATTATCTCCCGTATATGTAAACAAACTTGTTTGTCTGAGTGATTGGCTGAAAAGAAATAGGACAGAGTGGACTTGTAGCCTCCAAAGTTTTACATTGTTTTATTTTTGAATGCAATTATGTAAAAAAAAAAAAAAATCTACATTTGTAAGTTGCACTTTCATGATAAAGAGATTGCACTACAGTACTTGTGTGAGGTGAATTTAAAAGTATTATTTCTTTTGTTTATCTTTTTAACAGTGCAAATATTTATAATAAAAATAATAATATAAAGTGAGCACTGTACACTTTGTATTGTGTTGTAATTGATATCAATATATTTTGAAAATGTACAAAAACATTTAAAAAATTTATAATAAATTTAAATTGGTATTCTATTGTTTAACAGTGAGATGAAAACTGCGATTAATTGCAATTAATTTTTTTAATTAAGTTAATTTTTATTAGTTAATCACTTGAGTTAAGTGCCATTTATTGACAACCCTATTTATAACTGATGCATATCACATTTATACATTCAACAAGAATCATGATCATTTAGTAGTTGGGCTTTTCTTTCAGTAGATAGGCATTTATCACTAACATTTATCCATTTATCAGATATTCACTGAAAAGACTTCCATTATACTCAGAGAAACCGAAGTAGAATAATGCACAGTATACTGGATGCAGATGCACAGTATCAGTTATGTACCAAAGTCTTCACTTTCTATCAATTCTCTGGTGTAACCAATCAGGCTTTCCCAATGTCATGTACTAAATCACTGATTGTGGCTTGACATGCAAACAACATAACATTAAATATTTCCATTAAAACATTAATTGGAAAAAAACCCTTGCATTACATTTAACTGAGTTCATTGTGGGGTTTCTTTTAATACAGCTAAAATGTAAAAAAAACCAATCTATAATCCAATGTAATCTTCATAACAATCTTAATCTCTCAGAAAGTAGCCACAGGAGTTAAAACCAGATAGCACACAATATATAGATACTACTACTGGCACTATTGGCATTGTACGTCAGTAAAGCTGGGCAAGATTTTTCAAAAGAATAGTTTATTTGACAAAATATGCAGTTTCAGGAGACCTAAAACTACTCGCAAAGTTGACAAGAATAGTTTGAGTCATTCACAAAATGACCAGAAGAGACTTTTTCGATTAATCATAAATTCTGAAACATTTCAGATTCAGTTCAACACAAACTGAATTTTTTTATTTTGATTTTTCAGAACTGCCATTAAACCAACCCTCCCCCAAATCAGTTATTTGCCCAGCTCTATATGTGGTACAGTCCTCTGAAAAACTAAATACACAAAAAGAGTCAGATCCAGAGTTACACCAATTTTTCCCCGTGGGTGCTCCAGCCCCGGAGCACCCATGGAGTCGGCGCCTATGCACACACAGAGCATTACTGCCTCGGGGATTTTAGCCCTGGGACTCAGGGCTTCAGCTGGGGGAGAGGGGGTTTAGCGCTGCAGCCACCTGGTGAGTGGGGTCAGGGTTCTGGGCAGGGGGTAGGGGTCAGAGCTTCTGACCTTCAGAAGCACCAAGGCTCAGGGCTTCAGCCTCGTGGGGGGTGCCGAGGCTCGGGGCATAAGCTATGAGGGGAGCGCCGATTTGAGCTCCAGCGCTCCTCCCATTGGTAAAGCTCCAGCATGCTCCCCCACAAGCTGAAACAGGGAATGAAGCTTTGGAAGTCCAAGCCCTGGTGCTCCCCATGGTCAGAAGCCAGGAATGGAGCCGCGGGGCTGAAGCTCTGAACCACAGCGTCCCCCCTAGATCTAAAGCCCTGAGCCCTGGTGCTCCCGAGGGTCAGAAGCACTGACCCCGCCCCCCTGCTTGGAGCCCTGACATCCCTCCCCCCCTCATGGCTTCAGCCCCAACTCCCCTCAGTGGCTGAAGTCTGTAACGTCTTGTTCAGAGTTAAGGACATTTCAGAGTTACGGACAACCTCCATTCCTGAGGTGTCCGAAACTCTGAGGTTCTGCTGTACACACCAATGTACTCTGGGAAACATATGCTTATTTTCATTAGCATGTTTTCATCTCAAAGCCGTATTACCAATTCACTTTGCTAACCATCAAAGATACACTTTTACAGCTGATCTTGCAAGCTTCGGAGCAGCACCCTCAACTCCCAGCAGAGTCAATGGGAGTTGTGGGCACTCGGCATCTCACAGGAACAGGCCCCAGTGGCCTAAGGTCGCAGACTCAAGTTTGCCACAAGCAATAATCTTTCTTACAGTTGATAATGTGCACTTGAATAGCATGCCCAGGGAACATCATACTGCTCTGTATTATGCACCTTTGCCAGGGAAAAGGACCAAACAAAATGACTACTTTTATCTTTATAAAATGTTCCACACAGCTGGTCAAGCTCTTCTCCAACTATACTGGTTAATAACAGGCCATGGCAGTTTTGGTTGAATGCCTGACTTGCAGTCTTTCCAAATAAATATGAGATCTTATAATCATATTCAGGAAAAGTTTCTGTTTTGAAAACATCTTTCAAAAGCAGGACTTCAAGCACAAACCCTGAGCTAATTATTATTTTATTCTACAGACACACAAATCAGAAGCTAAGTGAAAATGCATTACATGGAAAATGTACCAAAGCTGCCTTTGCATTCCTTCTCTGTATAATTATTCATTGCTTTTGTCTCTTCTATTTAAAAAAAAATCTTTTGTTTACTGAAGAAGCATACAGTGTTTTCCTCGAATGACGTTCAGCAAGCTTATCAATATTATATGTATACTGTAGTCATCTCTAGTCTGCACATAAGCAAATGAAAATATTCTGTTCCCAAGAGAAATTTTCTTTAGAACTCAATCCTTTCGTCATTCTTGCCATTTTAAACCTAAGCTTTACCCCTAAACTGAAGTAGATATAAGATCACAGTCTGAAGCACAGACACCCGAGTCTCATCTCATGAGCATTTGTGTTCAGCATCATTTCAGTTAATCTCTGGTGGTCCTCCAGATTTACACCAGTGTACGTGAGACGAGGCTCAGGTCCACAGAGTGGAATAGGATTTTGGCTGTTTCTGAAACAGTCTTGTATGGTAAGTATTAAGAGGCGTTAGAAACTACGATATGTGGTTTAATCTATGCACTATGGTTCATAACTCTTCAACTGTGCAAAACATGTTTCTTTAGGAACACTATGTTCTCTCCCTCCTTCTAGCCTCAAATTCAGAACCTTTTCTATGAACTTTACATCATGAAAGACATGGTTTTGGGATGGTTTCCAGTGTCAACAGCTTTTACTCACTGAATACTGATGTCCTTTCCCCATTTAGAGGGTTCTTTATTTGGAGTAAATACGTACATACCTTTCAGAACCACAATAATGTAACTGGGAATATCAAATTACACAATCACATAGCTTATGTTATATAATCTTTCATATTAAACAGAGTAATAAATACCAAAAAAGCAATGCTTTTTCTATGAAGTAAGAAGCTCACTTCCGTTACGTTTGTCCTATTCAAATGCAACAATAAAGTGTTTAATATAACTACACTACACTAATAATCAACTAGGGTATTTGGTGAGATTTTTTTTAAAGATTTATTTTTACTTAGCCCTTTGCTTC